CTGCACTTAAAATCAGAGTTATGGGAATAGTGTTGTATTATAGGAAAAATACTTGGAGTTGGATAGCCAAACAGACTTTGGAGTCAGAGCTATGCAGGTTCCAGTTCTAGCTCTACCACTTACTATTACTGCAACTTGGGATAGCCTCTCTGAGCTTCAGTTTTTTCATCTCTAACATCAGGAAAATACCTACTTTGCAATATTATGTTAAGGATTAAATTAGAAAGAGAAAACATCCTATACAGAGCTTGGCACATACTAGGTATTTCATAAGTAATGGATGTTTTTATTGTTGCCTCAAGTAATTGGCAGGTTGGAAAGGTATAGTAACATTCAAGCTATAATTATATTTAAAAGGAAACAGATGCACCGGGGGAAAACTAAAAGGAAATACACTTAAATACTAAACGAAGGTTGTATTCAAGTGTTAAAATTACAGGTAACTTTTCTCTTTCTCTGTTATTCAAATATTAATTACGTAGTTTGGTACTTTAATAATGGCAAAACAGGTACCATTTTTAAGCACAACTTTTGAGCAAAACCTCCCAAAGATCAGGAAAAGTTATGATTTATTGGTCAGTAAAAAGTTCAAAATGTTGCCTGTTTACCTGCTGGCCTTCCTTCATGCATAATTCAGTCCCAAAACTATTAGATGGAGGCAAGGAAAGCAGGCATCCATGCCAGGGCACCGTGAAGGATGGGGGTTGCTTGTCCCAGCACAGAAGAGTGCATCTGCGTTGGGGGAAGTGACTGCAGAGGAGATTGGTTATACACACCGGGATGATGGAGAAGGAAACTAGAATGAACTGTGTGGTGTGGGGATTGGTGTTGAAGGTATAAGTATAAACTCATGGTCTTCAAGATAGAAGAATAGATTACACAGATTTAAATTGTGTGTGCATACATATACATGTGCACATATATGTATATATAGTACCTCTATCCACTGATGATATCTGAGTCTATAAAATATTAATGTTTACTCAATAAATATAGTATGTATTGCCATTAAAATTCTCATTTTTTTCTATGTTGCTCAATACCTGAACAGATTTTAGAGTCACCCATCTAGAATGTTAAAGCTTGAAGGCAACATTCTGCTCCTGGCTTAAAAGTTGGAAAATCACTGGCAACATTTCAAAAGCTATGAGCATACCTACTACTAAGATTTTGGTTTCTAAATATCATTCTCCACTAAAAGAAACTAGCTTTCCTTGAAGAAATGTCTAATTGCAGGGCTGAGACAGAGAGATCACATGATGAGCTAGGACCGTCTCGTTTCCAGAAAGGTAGGAAGCACTTAAAGAATGGAGGGATGTATCAATTTGACCCTGAAGCCAGCTTGAAGGGAGTCCCACTAGCCAAAGCTGGGACAAGCCAAGCATCAAAATAAATAATGAATAAAATAGGAATCCCTGAGTCTATATAATATAAATAACTGTAGAGAAAAGAAAGAGGGTTTTCCCATACGGAAGATGCCAACTAATAAATGTAGAAGTAACAATGAATTTGGCAACCGTCATAGCAATAATTGAGCCAAGAAACAGCGATGCTAGAACTAGTGAGAGAAGTTTGATGAGCATTTGGATACTTACACGGTCTCGAAATATCTCTCCACAAAGCTCATTTTCATCACAAAGAGGAAAAAAGTAACTTCCAGTGGAGACACCTGGCAGACGCCATCTTAAGTCATCAAAGTTAACATCACCAGTGATGGGACAAATTGAAATCATACACTGCCTGATAGGATGCAGTAGGAAGACACAGGATCACCTCTGTGGTATTCCTGCCAAAATGCGTAACCTAAATCTAATCATGAAGAAACCCAAATTGAGGGACATACTGCAAAATAACTGGCTTATCGTCCTCAAAACTGTCATGGTTATGAAAATAAAGACTGAGGAATGGTTCCAGACTACAGGAGACTAAGAAAACATAACCAAATGCAATAGCACAGGATTCTGAACTGGATCCTTTTATTAAAAAGGACATTGAGACAACTGGAAAAATTTGAATGGGGTCTGAGGATTAGATAGATAGCAGTCACATATCAATATTAATCTCCTAATTTTGATGACTATAATGTGGTTAAGTGAGAGAGAATGTCCTTGTTTGTAGGAAATACACATTGAAGTATTTAAGGGAAGGGGACATCAGGTCAGCAACTTACTCTCAAATGGTTCAGGGGAAAAAAATTCCTTTATGCGATTCTTGCCACCTTTCCATATGTTAGAAACAATTCATAAGAAAACAAGTCCAAAAAGTTTATTTCAGTTGTAGCGAAAATCTCTGACTTTTTATCTCACTAAAAATAAAGGCTACAGCCAGTCCGGTCAGCCAAACCTGTTTATCCTGACATTCGGGGACAGACTGCCAGGTGTGGGCTGGGCAAACAGTTCTCTGTCCAGGGTTTCAGACAGAGGCTGGGCCAGGGAAGGCTGGAATGGCAGCTTGGGCCACAAGGAACCTCAGCACTGAGCACTTAGGAGGATGTCGGAACCTCATGGACTCCAGAGCTTGGGATAAGAGGAGAAGAAAACCAGGACTCTTTCCATACCCCACTAGCACCAAGCCTACCCATTGGGCCCTAAGGCTCAAAGAAGGAGGAGCTCAGGAAAGAGAAGGAAAGAGAGAGAGGGAAGAGAGGACGGCCTTTGATTTCTGGCACTGTCATATTGTTGGTACATAAATGTGTATTTAATCCATAAAAAGCCACCAAACTCTCTTGTCCTAGGACCTCTATGCCATTTCCCCAATGTTGTGTCCCCTGCAGGAATGAAGTAAGGAACGGGCTGCCCTAGAAGCTGGTGTTCCAAGGGCTAGTCACTAAGGGTTTATGAGATTTGGTTTTTTCCACTCAGCAAAGCTGTTGCTTCATTTTTTGCATACTTTAATGGTTTTATGTTTTCCCTGATATAGTTCTGCAAATTCCAAGAATGGAAAAGTAATAAATGTTTATTGAAGCAGATCTCCTCTGCACAACTGTGAGCCGCTGCAAGTCAAGAACCATGCAAAGTCAACCTCATGTCACACTTTTTTATCTATTTCTTCCCAGTTCCCAATAAGGGATGGTCCACACCAAGTGCTCAGTGAGTGATCTCTCTCTCTCTCTCTCTCTCTCTCTCTCTCTCTCTCTCTCTCTCTCTCTCTCTCTCTCTCTCTCCCTCTCTCTGTGTCTT